GGCCCTGTCCTGTGTCCAGAGCTGGCTTCGGCCAAGAACAGCAGGGATGGTGGGTGGCAGTGGCTGCTGTCCTCAATTCTTGCTCTGGACCTGAGCCCAGGCTGTTGCAGCTGCCATGCTTCCCAGCTGAGTGGTCAGCCCTGTCAGAGCCCCGTCACAGTCACTGCAGGCAGATTGCGTCTTGAGGACACCTCTCTGGTAGGCTGCTGGGCTTCGGTGGCCAGGAAAGCTAGCAGGGGCACTGTCTGTGTTGCTCAGTGGTCACCCAGCGCTGGGCAGGAAGTCCAGCCCCGTGACCTGGTGGGTTCGGGCAGAGCTTAGAGCACGCTCCTAGCCCTGTCCCCAGGGAGGTGGCAGCTGCCTTTTGCTCTAGCCTTATTCCTATGCCCGCATGGCCTTGTGTCCTGTGGCTCCCTCCCACCTGTGCCCCTGGGCAACCCAGTTCTTGGATTAGTGGGCACTGGTCCATGCCCCCACCCCTACCAAACGTGAGCCCGGGGCTTTGGGATGAGTTGTCAGCTTGTTTTGCTTGTTTTGCCCTGGGTCTGGAAGTGCCCCTAGAGCTTGTCCCGTGGCCTAGCCATTTCTCCATTCTGCCCGCTGTGGCAGGTGCAGTAGGGTCTTGGCACTGGGCACATTGCTGGAACATCCTGTGTAGGATAAGCAGTGCCACCTGGATTCTATTGGGGCAGGCAGCGGAACCACTGAGCCAAATCTCTGGCTCACCTGGATTCTGTTGGGCAGAGCTCCCCACAGCAGGATGAGGTGGAGCTGGCCCCTGCCCCCAGACCCCTGAGGTGAGGGCCCCCAGCCTCACTCCTCCCCCTGGGCCTCTGCCCTTGGATGATCTCCTCCAAGGCCTGCTCCTTAGGTGCCTGGAGTGTCTCCAAGGCTGCCACCCTGGGCTGCTGCCTGCAGCTCTGAAGCCTCCGTCCTGACCTCTCCCCTTCTCCTCTCCCCCATACAATTCCCTTAGAGCTGGCTGCCCTGCCCAGTGGGGCCTGATGGGCCTGTCCTATCCTGCCTGCTTTGTCTGCCTCATAAACCTGGGTGTGTGTGGCGCCACCACTCTATCTCGGTTATTTCTGTGTTCACTGTGATGCACAGGAAGCCAGGCCACCCCACCCTGGTTGCTATGGTTTCCACACAGCTGTAGTTAAATTCTAGCTGTGACATTTTCCAGGCAGAGTTGGAGATGCTGGCCACACTCCCAGCGGGCTGTGGGAGGGCGAACAGTGGTCAGCACCCTGCCGCTGCCCAGGTGGTTGCCCAGGGACTTGGCGTGGGCTGTGGGAGTGGAGGCAGGCTCTGGCCTCTGCAGCTGGGGCCCTGTAAGGCTCAGCTGTGCCACTCACCACTGCCTGTGCGTGGGGAGCCAGGTGCCAGGCAGGGTACTGCTGTGACAGAGGGCCACAAAGCAGGTGACTTATCCTCACAGTCTGGAGGCAGAAGCCTGCAATCCAGGGTTGGCATGGTGTGCCCCTCTGAGAGTACAGAGGAGGGCCCAAAGCTTCTGAGCTTTTGGACGCTCCTTCTTGCCTGTGGCTGCATTGGCCCAGTCAGTCTCTGCGCTGGTCATGGGGCCGTCCTCCTGTGTGTCTCATCAGAACTTCCTGTTCTCATACGGACATCACCTCCTGGATTAGGCCCCCTAATGCAGCCTGGCCTCATCCTATGGAGTCGCATCTGCAAAGATCAGGTTCCAGTAAGATCACATGAATCAGTACCAGCAGTTAGGGTTGCACTTGTCTTTTCGGGGGATTTAGTTCAATCCGGGTTGTGTGTTCTCTGGGGTTCTGGCCAGGGTGTGTGCTGTGGGGTGCCATGCTCTTCTTTGGCCTTCCCTCCTGGTTGGCATGGCCACGTGCTGGGAGGTAGCTGCATCCTGAGAGCCACAGCTGCAGGTGCTCCTGGGAGGGCCGTCAGCAGTCTGTGCCTGTGTGTGACGAGATGGCTGCAGGTCACTAAAGAACGCAGGTTTTAAGCTGTGTGTTACAGTTTTAAGACCACAGCTGGAGTAGAGTAGGTCATTGTGTAAAGTCTGGAATCTCCTGGCCCAGTCACTAGTGCCCTTCTCTGGGGCCAGCAGAGGCCCACCCCGGGCCCCTGGTCCTCTTCGTCCCACAGCTTGCTTTTACTCACCCAGCAGCACCTCTCAGCAGGCTCTGCCTGTGCCCCCACTGAACAATGCTCCATGTGTAGGTTTCATTCCTCTGCCCTATAGTGTTGGGCACTGTGGAGCTGGGCAGCCTCACATCACAGGCAGCATCTGGAGGCATCGTCTTCCCACAGAGCGCTGTCAGGGCCGGGCACACCTGTGACTTGGTGTCCGTTCTGCTGCCCTTATGGTGATGGTCCCTTTCTTCTGATATGGCCAGTGAGGGGCAGGGCAGCAGGGGTGAGGGAGGCAAGCTCCGGAGCCAGAAGTTCAGGGTTCTTTGTTTCACAGCCAGGAAGGCCCTAGAGCGTCTAGTCAGGACCCCAGGTCCCTGTTTAGGACCAGTCTCTTTTTGGGCAGCTGGGAAAGCAGTGAGTTTAGGACCCAGGCGGAAAGCAGAAGCTGAGTATCACCCCAGATGTCATGCTGAGTGTGTGACTTCCTGTCTCCTTGTCTCTGTCCTGCAGCCTGTCTGAGGTTGGGCTTGGTTGGAGTGACAGCCAGTTTATGACTTCACCCTCACTTCGGGCTCACCCTCCAGGACCCGGCCAAGCACTTTCAAGTATTTCCTCTGGGAAGTTTGCTAGAATCTGGGGGTGGCTGCTCTGCCATTCCTGAGGGTCCTTACCATCAGCCTGCTGCCACCCCAGAGGGGACGCTTCCAAGAGACGCAGTGTCCCTGTGCGCGAGCCTCAGGCCCAGCCAGGCCTGGTTGTCCAGGGATGACTGGACAGATGTGCTGTGGGATGGGAGGGTGTGGCTTGGTGAGTCAGCATCTTGGTCCCTGTGGCTGCCTGGTGAGCTGAGGAGGTTGTGCAGGAGAGGCCACCCCTGGGCTGGCACAGGATTGGCAGAGAGGGAGAGGAGACTTGGGGGCAGGCTTGGCTCTGGCAGCACCCAGCCTGGACCAGGGCACTGGAACCCTGCCTGAGCTGGCCTCTGAGGTGATGGACCTGTCACTCAGGTGCTACCCTTCCGATACCGGGAGATTTCACTTTGAAATCGGGGCCTCCAGCTACCCTTAACTGTCTGGAAGTTTTGCATCCTAGACTCCTATTCCTGGGGCCACCCCACCCCCTGCACCTCTTGGCAGATGCATGTCCAGTGTCCCTGCCACCTTGCAGTTTCCACTTGCCTGCCAAGACCTCTCCTTTTCTTTGTGACCAGTAAAGAGGGATAGGAAATGCTTCTTACACCATGGCATCATAAAAACTGGGGAAGTGAAAGCTCAGAGGAGGGGCCCACGTTCTCCTGCTCCCACACCTGCCTGTCCAGAGATGGGCGAGGGGGAGGAGGGTGGGTGCTGGTGCAGCACCCGTAGGGTGATGAAGGATGCTCAGGAATCGGGCACAGGGGCCGCCAGCTGTGGAACAGGCTCTGACTGGGGACTGAGTGGAAGTGGGGAGTGAGGTGGGCTTGGCCCGTGTGCGCTGGAATCCTCCGTCAGGAATGAGGTGCTTTGGGGAGAGGTTTGTGCGGGATGGGTGGAGCTGAGGCTCTGTTCCTGGGTGGCTGGTGGCCCTTGGTGGAGGACCATGGGGGCAGGAGGTGACCAGGCAGGCTGGGGGAGAAGCAGCCACAGAGTCTGGGTTCTGGGTGCTGACTCTGTGGGTCAGGACAAGTGCCAGGGTTCCTAGGGGAGGCATGGGGTGTTGGCAGTGTGCGGTCCAGGTTGCCCAACCCCAGGGCCTGAAGCCCCTCTGATGCCACCTGGCTCTGTGATCCAAGGGCAGGTGAAGGCACCAGGGGTGATGTTGGTGTGGGCGCAGGCAGCTGTGGGTCACATGAGTACGTCATTGGTGTCACTTGCCATAAAGGTGTGTCGTGGCTCGCTCTTGGAGCCTCTGACCAGCCCGGCCAGGGCCAGACCCGCCGGGTGCCCCTCCTCCCTGTGTCTGGCTGGCTCACTGTCATCCCCACAGGTGAGGCGGGGCTCTGATTGCCACTGTGCAGGCGGGGAGCTGGTGGGCTGAGTTTTGACTGGTTGCCCTGGGAATGGTTGGCAGGAGCTGAGCCAGGCTGGGCGGTGCTGAGAGCCTGACCTCCTGGACCTCCTGACCGCTGCCAGCGGGGGTTGCCAGGCTCAGGGGTGCTGGTCTGGGCCCCACCTGGGCTTCTGGGCAGAGCAGGCAGGGCGAGCCGGACAGGGCTGGACTCAAGGCATGTGTTCACTGTTGGCCACCTGTGCCTGGCCCACAAAGGTGGCTTGCATTGTGGGCGGTGCTCTGGAAAGGGGCTCGGCTAGTGGGCTACCATGGGAGGAGTGCCAGATGGGCTTGTTGGGGTTCCAGAGAGTTCATGGTGCGTCCATGCTGCTGGCATCCATGGCGAGGACAAAGTCTCTCCTCTCGGGGGACATGTGATGGCAGCACTGCTCTTCCTGGCCTCTCAGCCCGGGCCCAGGCCTAGAGGTCTTGACGCTGTGACCTGTGTCCTGTTCTCAGAAGAGCTGTGGCTGCCCAGTCCCTTGCGAAGTCCACTGGGGCATGGTGGCCCTGGCATTGGTGCCAGTGTCACAGTCTGTGTCTTGTGCTCACAAATTTCAGCTGATTGCTAGTGAGCCTGCTGCAGGAGATCTGGTGTGCACTGCTGAGGGCCTGTGACTTCACTGCAGGCCTTTGCTGGCCAGGGCAGACCAGTGCCTATGGCTCCAGGAGGAGGAAGCCCCAACCCCTGCCCCACCCATGGACAGGGCCCTGCCAAGTCACCATCTCAGGCGTGTGGAGTTCTCCTTCCTCTGGGAGCCACTGGTCCTTTGGGGACCTCCCTTCCCCGGGTTCGCTGAGCACGGGTGCTTTTCTCTCCCAGGGCCTCATCTCAGTGCCTTTCTCACCCACCCTAGGATCATGCGGCCAGATGACGCTAACGTGGCGGGTAATGTCCACGGTGGAACCATCCTGAAGATGATCGAGGAGGCTGGGGCCATCATCAGTACCCGGCACTGCAACAGCCAGAATGGGGTGAGCGTTGGGCCCTGGGAAAGGGTGGGTGTGGAGCCCGGGTCTAGGGTCTTCCCCTTCCGGCCCAGGCAGCCTGGCTGGGGCTTGGACTCATGCTTTGGTTGGGGCCCTGGAGAAGAAGGCAGGAAACCCCAGGGACTAACCTGCTGGAGCTGCTGGCTGCATCTCACCTCTGTCCCCCACACCCAAGACTCTGGTGGCTCCAGGGACCAAGCCTGCTGCAGCTCTGCACCGCGGCTTCCTGACCCGAAGCCCAGCAGTGATGCCCACCATGGCGCTAGCTCTCTGCTCATCTGGGCCTGCACAGTGTGAGGTGGCCGTGCAGCCTGTCATCCTCTAGCCTCGCAGGACCTGGGTTTCCTCTGCAGGCCAGGCAGGGAGCAGGGACGGGGCTGTGTCTTGCTGGGGCAGCTGCACTGTGGTGGCAGGCACAGAGGGCAGCATGGGAGTCCAGCAGCCTGTGTGCCACTCTGGGCAGAGGAGGATGAGTCCCCAGGAGGCCCCGTTCCTTCTGAAGGGCCCAGCAGGGAAGGAGGTGGAGGCTGCTGAGCCTGGCGGTTCTGATGATACTGGCACCACTTTGTGGTGTGCTCTCAGATGCTGTTTAGAACTGAAGTTGGTGGTAACTTTTTGTGGCACAAATCAAGTGGCACCATTATATTTTTTTAACAGAATGTGCACACTTTATGTGTCTGTGAGTGCCATATATGGGTGATTCTTGTAATATTTTAAGTATTTTACCTGGTGTGGTGGTACATGCCTGTAATTCTAGCACTCCGGGAGGCTGAGGCAGGAGGATTGCAAGTTCAAGCCAGGCTGGGGTGACTGAGCAATGTTGTAAGACCCTATCTCAAAAAAACCTGTTTTAACAAAGAAAGGCTGGAGACATAGCTCAAAGGAGGGCCCTGTATTCAGCTCCCAGCACAGTGGTACCTTGGTTCATGAACTCAACTCTTTCCACAATTCTGGTTGCAGAATTCATTCCCTGATTTGTGCAAAAAATTAAGTTTGTGAATCAAGGTACCACTGTACCATAAAACAAACAAAACAAAAAACCCAAAAAACCCCACCCCAAATGTTATCTCGTCTGCTTTGGTGTTCTGCAATTCTTTGTGGGAAGCACTGTATTCCCGAGCTGCACTGCAGCCCTGATCAGCAGTCTTCTGTGTTCCTCCTCTAATGGTTTGGGGGCACTGCAGGCTGTGCCCATGTAAATCCCCGAACGCCTCTGTAAATGGTGCATGTCCTGGCTGCTCCCTGGCCACTGCCCGTCTCCTACTCGGTGTGTCCTGAGAGAACAGTATTAAAATCGGGACACTTAATTACCATAATACCCTCCCAGTGTTCTGTTGACAGGAAAGCCATGGGTCTTTCACTTGAAGCCAGAAGCCAGAAATCATTACTATCAGGGAGGAGGATGCACGGGGAAGCCAGGAAAGCCACGCCTCCGTGTCAATCAAAGAATGAGTTCTGTGAAACCAATCAGGTGTGCTGCTTCAGGGAATACACGAGTGTTAGAAAGCTGAACAGCCTCCTTGCTGATGTGGAAAATGTCTAATTTTGTCATATTTATTTTGGCGGGGCAGGGTCTCGCTTTGTGGTCTAGGCTGGCCTCCAACTCATGGGAATCCTCCTGGCTCAGCTCCCTGAATGCTGGGATTACAGGTGTGCGTCACCACGCCTGGCTTTCAAAGGATGCCTGTGAGTGGCTTTGCTGGAAGCCCCTGCTCATGGCCCTTTCTGAAACCCCTGAGCCCTGAGGGACTGTAGTAACACTGCCTGTCCACAGTGAAAGCCTGTTGCTCCAAGAAAAAGATTGCTTAAGAAGTCTAGGTGTGGTGGCACTACCTGTGGTCCAACATAAAGCTCCGCTCCTTAATTTGCTGGTGCCAGGTCTCATGTCTCAGCCACAAGCAAAGTGACCAAGGCAGCTGCCCACTGGTGACGGCCTTGCTTACCTGGGGGCCGAACAGGGAGATTGGTGCTGTCTTCACACCTGACACAAAATCCATCTCAGCCCATGGCTCAAGAAATAATTCTAACTTCCACACCTTGCCATGTTGGAATTACATTTCGCAGGGCTGTGGTTGCTGCAGGTAGTGATTTCTTGTGGGCAAAGTCACCCAAAAACCTTTGGAAAGTCTTTGTCATGGTCGGTACCAGCAAGCACCTCTGGGACCTAGGGGGACCAGGCCATAGCGGACAAGTTGATCTAAGCCCTCCTGGGCAGCGGGGAGGGCAGGAGGGGCAGACAGGGCTGCAGCTGTGGTGGGAATAGCAGGAGAACCAGGGTGAGGAATGGAGACCGGAATGCAATCGGATCCAGCACTTGAGCAGCTGGAGAGAGGCTGCGTAGGACAAGCAAGGCGAGTGTGATCCCACCTGGGAAGATGGCTCAGACAGCAGAGCCCAGGACAGCACAGAGTGGACACAGCAGCTGCAGGGCCTAAGAGGGTCGCTTCTGGCTTTCAGAGACATTCGGCCTCCTGTGGGTGGGAAGACGCAGGCAGGCAGCAGGCCTCATCAGTGTCTTACATTAAGGAATTGCTACGCATGCTGGGCATGACGGTGCACACCTGTGATCCGAGCACTCTGGAGGCTGAAGCAGGAGGATTGCCATGAGTTCAAGACCAGCCTGGGGTGCATAGTGAGATGGAGGCCGGCCTGCACTATATAGTGAGACCTTGTCCCAAAGACTAAAGAAAGAAAAGGAAGAAAAATTGCCATGCCTTCATGAGCCACCCCCATCAGGCAGACTATGGCTCACTGAAGGCTCAGTTGATCATGAAGAGTTTTTGGCAGTAAAGTTGTTGTTGGTTTTTTTTTCCTGGAATAAAGCATTTGTAATTAAGATCATTACATTGTTCTGCAGGCACAATGCTCTCACTGAAGGCTCAGTTGATCATGAAGAGTTTTTGGCAGTAAAGTTGTTGTTGGTTTTTTTTTTCCTGGAATAAAGCATTTGTAATTAAGATCATTACATTGTTCTGCAGGCACAATGTAATCGCACACTGACAGATGTAACTTTTAAATGCGCTAGAAACCAAAAAGCTTGTATGACTCGCTTTACTGTGATACTCGCTTCCCTGTGGTGGCCTGGAGCTGTACCTGGGGGGCCTCCAAGTGCCCTTGAGGCTGGCGAGCCCAGCAGTGTGGCCTGGAAGCTCTCCATTTCTAGGTGGCAGCTTGTCACCCTGTCCTGGCAGGGTGGAGGTGACAGGATGATCCACAGGATCTTTAGGAGGAGTGGCCTCCTTCGAGGGGGCTCCACCCCCTTGACTTGAATCACTTCCCAGAGGCATGGTCTCACAGCACAGCACAATGTCCAGCCCTGACCATCCCCCTGAGTAGAAGGCTGCGCGTGGAGACCGAGCTGTGCCGGGTGATGAGCAGAGCTGGGCATGGGGTCCTCCAGGTTGGTGGGGTGTGGCGGGGGAGCCCTGCTGTCTGGCTCTCTTTTTTGTTTGTTTGCTTGTTTGTTTTGAGTCAGGGTCTCACTATGTAGTTGAGACTGATCTGGAACTCATTATTGTTGGCTGATTCTGTCTTGTGGTGATGGTGGTTGGGTTTGGGCTCCTTTGCAACCAGGCTCATCGAGAGTGCCCTCTGGTGGCTGTGGGGAGGACAGACCTCAGCCTGTGAGGCTGGAAGTCTGGAGATGGAAGGTGAGGGCCCCCAGGCGGGCCTGGGCAGAGAGGATGGACACTGGGGTGGGGGAGCCTCCAGTGAAAGCCTAGGGGACACCAGTGCCACCGGCGGGTGTAGAAGTGGTCACTGACATTGGCTAAGCACTTGCCACTTGAAAGCTCTGAAGTGCTTTAGGGTGTGTAATTCTTATAACACCCCTAAGAGATGTCATACTTTGCTGTTCCCATTGTTCCATTGCACAGGTGAGGAAGCTGAGCCATAGAGAGGGCCAGCCCCAGGCTGCAGGTAGAAGGCCTGGGCCAGCACGTTCCTGCTTTAGGCCCTGCTGCTGCACCCCTGGGTGCTGGAGGGGTATCTGGTCCCAGCCCAGGAGGGTCTGTGAGCTCCAGGCACCTGGGGTGACACTCCCCAGTCCTAGGTGGCTGGACGCTGACCACGGAGGGACTTCGCTGGAGCCCTGGAAGGGCGTTCGTTAACCCTTTGTTGTCTGCACTGACAAAGCAGTGCTGAGAGGCTATGCCGCTAGCCCTGGTGGCAGAGCAGTAAGCAGCAGAGCTGGGATTTGAACCCAGGACTCATGGCTGTTCTTTTGGGCTATTTCTGAAACTGCTTGCCTGGCCTGAGGTCCTGGGGTCCATAAGGAGCCCATTCTGGTCACCTGGGGTACACAGCAGAGGGCATTTCTGGGGCACTGAGCAGAGTGCTCATGGCTCCTTCCTGGTGGGCTACCCTGTCCCTTATGGCTCAAAGCTGGGAGTTGCAGGGTGCTTGAAAACAGCAGGAGCAGGAGATGCCCGCAGCCCGCACTCTAACGTGGGATTTCTGGGTCCCATCAGCCCCTATAGGAGCCTGGCTGACCCAGCATCCAGCACCCAGCTGGGAAACGGCCCCTCAGTCACAGTGGGGCTGATCTCATGTTGCCGGGACCAGTTCCACAGTTGCGGCAGCCCAGCCGCACTCAGACCTCCTGATGCCAAGCAGGAAAGCTCCTCTCCCAGGGTCTGTGAGCAGGAAACCAGGCTGGGGCTGCCATTCCTGTGCGTTTCCAGCCAGGAGGAAATTGGACTCCAGGCTCCTAGGTGGCCTGCAGCAGGCCTCCCATGGTGGCTCTGGTGTCCCTCTGCCAGGCCTGGCGGGCACGATGGGAGCTCAGTTCCTCCCAGCCGATGGGGACTGAAAGGAGAGCCTGATCTGGGGTTCCTGTCCCCTCCCACCCTCCGGGAGGCCCCAGACCTGCCCTGGACATTCCCCACTGACTTGCCCCGTCTCCCTCCGTCCCCTCTGGGTCGGCCTGCCCAGCCCCTTCATGCCTGTCTGGCACCTGGTCACTCACATGTAGCTCAGTGTCCTCCTGGCTCTGCCCCCTGGGTCCCCTGCCCTCGCTCCAGGTGAGGAGGCCTTCTCCTTGTCACCCCATCTGGTTCCCATGCTCAGTGATGGCAGCAGTGTCCCTGCATCAGAACGGCCACTGCCAGTGCCAGATGTGTTTGTGGCCTGCGTGGGCGCCGCTTGCCAGTCGAGGACGCTGCCTCCTTTCCGCTCTTGGCTTTGCCAACAGTGCTTGGAAGGCTCTGGGAGGGATGCTGCTGGGCCAAGTGGTTCTGGCAGACTCACCCTACTGCGTGCACCCACTGCCTTTCCAGTTGCTGCCAGTGGGTGGCGGCATCGCTACGCGTGTGGTGGGCGCCTTCCCGATCTGCCTCCATCCTCCTCCCTCATTTCTCCGCGCCTGCGCGTTGCGACTGTACGTCAGTCTGGGCCGCGCACCAGCCGCGTTCCCCTGTGCAGTCTCCAGCCCAGCCCCATGGGCCTTGCTGAGACCGTCTGTCACCGTGATGACGGGCAGTGGCGCTGTCACAGGACCCCCAGCCTGAGTGCGAGACCAACCTGGAAGGAGACCCAGGTCCCTGGTGGGCTTCAGAGAGGCAGGCCCAGGTTGGGGATGTGCTCAGGAAGGTACAGGCTGCTGGTAGGGCACACCCTGGGGCTCGGGCTGGTGCATGACCTTGGGCTGCTTGCCGCCTGCCTTGCAAACCACCCACCACATCCCGGGCAGCGGAAGGGACTCATCCACACCCCAGCGTCCTGTGAAAGGCACCCACTGCCAGACACTCCAGTGATGAATGGAGGCTCATGTTGTCACTGCCTGTGTCATTCAACTGGCAAAGATGAAAATAAGTTGATCCTGCCAGGCATGGTGGTGCACGCCTGTAATCTCAGCAGTCTGGGAGACTGAGGCAGGAGGATCACAAGTTCCAAGATCAGCCTGGGCAATTTAGGGACTTAGTGAGACCCTGCCTCAAAGTAAAAAACCAAAAAGCTGGGGATGTAGCTCAACCAAAGACCCAGGGTTCAGTCCCAGGACTGCAGGATGACCTGAGGTCCAGATGCTGTGCAGGTCACTGCTGGCTTTGGGAAAGACTTTGGGACTATGTATCAAAATGTTCATCACTTGGACCTACGAGTTTTCCCAAATGCAAAAAGGTGTTTTCCTTCTCAGCATTGTTTATACCAAGTGACGGCAGAGGTGACCGGATCTCTAATAAGAGTTCAGTGCTCTTTGGCTATTAAAGGTAACTTGGCAAAGTGGTCCTTGGAAGGGTAAGGAAAGTCCATTGGATGTTGCTGTGGTTGGTTGGTGTCCCTCCACAATTCCTGTGTGAAATCCTCCACTCAAGATGACGTTCCTGGCGGCAGAGCTGCGGGGCTGGTTGGGCCAGGGTGGTAGAGCTGGTGGAAAGCCCAGGGCCCCCGCCCCTTGTGCCTACAAAGACAGCTGCAGCGTCCCATCCATGACAGCTGCCTCTTAGCAGGCACCGAACCTACTGGCCCTTGGTTCCTAATGGTTGCCTCCAAAGCTGTCAGCCGGTCGTGGTATTTTGTTCAGCAGCCTGGTGTACTGAGACATTGACCTGTGGGCTTCTCTCCTGGGTGAAGGCAGGGAGAGGATGGGTGGGGCGGTCTGGCTGTGGCAGCACATGGGAAGCAGTGTGTGGTCAGAGGCCACATTTCATGAGATGTGTGCGGACTGGGGGCCAAGTAACGGGCCACACCTGGTGCCGGGTGCCCTTTGTTCCTTCTAAGTGTTGAATTGTGAGAATGTGCTGCCCTGATGAAGGAGAAAGTAAAACTTAAAACTGAATAATGAGGGCCAGGATGTAGCTCAGTGGCACTGCACCTGCCTCGCAAGTGCAAGGTCCTGAGTGTGATCCCCGGTACTGGAAAAAAGAAATTAAAAATGAATAATGATGACAAAGAATGTGATTCTGATGGCAGATTGTGTTCCCACATTGAGAAAGATCAGAATGTGAAAGTGTATTTAAGTTTTGCCCAGCTGTGTAAGCCTAGGGTTCGACCCTAGTGACCCTGGTTCGGTCCCCAGCTACACACAACACACACACACACACACACACACACACACACACACACACACACGCACGCACACGCACACAGGCTATGAAACAAGGACCCAGGCAAGCAAACAAATGAGCTATCGAAGCCCTGTTCCTGGGAAAGGCCTGGGAAGCTCTCAGCACAGTGGAGACCCTTATCCTTGGAGGGAGAAGTGCTGTCATCCTCCTGTTCTTCCCCAGATCTGGATCTGTACCTGCATGAGTGCTGTGTGCCTCTCCCACCGATGTTAGGAAGCAGCTGCCAGTGGCTTCCTCATCTCCAGCCTGCTCTGGTCTTGCCTCGGGGTCTGCGTCCTGAGCTTTCGCTCTTGTCAGTAACCTGCCTCACCGTGGGCGCCTTCGTCACCTATTCATAGCTGGGACAGAATACTCAGGTGTCCATAATTTAAAGGGGGTGACGCTTGCATCCACTCACATTTTAGTCCATGGGGAGCTGACTCCAAGGCAGAAACAGGGTGGTAACGGTTGCCCGGTGGAGCAAAAGGTGCTCACCCCTTGGCCACCCGGAGGCACAGAGGAGGACTGGGGCAGGAGTCTCCCAGGCCGTGCCTGCTGCAACACTGAACTCACTATTCTGCTGCTGAGTACAGCAGCCTGAGATCCAGTCGACTTCCAGACCCATACTGCTCCTGGGGGATCTGTTAGAGCTAAACCATAGCAGTGGGCACAAAAACAGAGTCAGCTGCTGTGAAAGGGCGGTGCATCCGGGGTAGGTTGCACTGAGCTGGCGCAGGCCCCTGGCTCACAGTGTCTGGTCTTGCAGGAGCGCTGTGTGGCCGCCCTGGCCCGGGTGGAACGGACCGACTTCCTGTCGCCCATGTGCATCGGGGAGGTGGCGCATGTCAGCGCCGAGATCACCTACACCTCCAGGCACTCTGTGGAAGTCCAGGTCAACGTGATGTCCGAAAACATCCTCACAGGTAACTTCCAGCTGCCACCACCAAGCCTCCTGCCTGGATGACTGCAGGGCTGCTTATGCTCACTGTCACAAGGTGATGCTGTGGGCATGGCCCAGGGACTGCTGGTCCCTTCTGTGGCGTGGAAGCTGGGGGCTCTGCAGGGCTTGTTGCCTGTCCACGGGAAGGCTGTGGGGTGGGCATGGGCAGAAGCCCAGCTTGGGCAGGAGCTGGCATGGGAACCTCTGCCCGGGATGGTGCCTGTGCGTTCGCCGCCGCTGCAGTAGCCATGGAAACCCCTCCTTCCCTTGGCACTGCAGGAGAGCAGGCTCTTTCTCACATACGCTCATGCTGCTTTTTATAACCCAGCTAGTGATGGGGTGAGCAGGGCCCTCGCCCCCTCTGGCTGCTCACTGCCACCTGTGGTCCTGCTCAGAGTAGAGGCTTGGTCATCCCTTCCCATCCTCCTGCCCTGGGTCCCCAGTAGTGGTGGTGGCTCTGTGGGTTGTGGGCTTGGGGTTCCCTCAGGGGCTCAAGCCCTTTTCCCCTGCAGGGCCAGGAGCACAGTTGCCCATCTGGAACATTCTGGCGACCTCGGCAGGGCTGGCAGTTAGGGCATGAACCATCAGTGAGTGAGGCCTGGTCTCCAAGGGTCCTGGGGGCCCTGTGTGCAGCAGGCACTCTGGCCTCGGGTGACCCTGAGATGCTGGACTTGGGTTGTGGCACAGGAAGTGCCGCCATGCTCCCTCACGCCCTGTGGGTGGCCTGAGCTCTCCACTCAGCCGGGCTGTGATGGCCATGTCCCCATGGTGGGAACCCCTCTCTGATGCCCCTTGATCCTCATGCTCATCAGTTGTTGAAGGGCGGTGGGCTTGCGGCAGCCTCTCCTCTGTCACCGTGCAGTCTTCGGGTGGGGAACCACCTTACCCTGGTCCCACAGCCCACAGAACCTGAACAACAGTAGCATCCAGGGTTTGGGGTACAGAGAGGCATCAGACCTCTGTCCTCTTGGTGGAGATTCCAGGCGTAGCGTAGGTCTTGGCCTCCTCCTCCTGATGACCTCTGTGGCCCAGTGTCCAACGCTGACTGTGAGCCAGCACATGGGTGCAACTGGACCCCACGCTCTGAAGCTGGGCATGGAGGCACCTGCCTGTAATCCCAGCACTCTGGGAGGCTGACGCAGAAAGATCGAAATTCAAACCCAGCCTGGGTAACTTTGCCAGACCCTGCCTTGAAATAAACTTTAAAAATGGACAGCTAGGTGAGCCCGAAGGCCCTGGGTTCAATCCCTGACCTGCAAAGGATCTTCATCTTCAGGGTCAGAAAGATGATGGGCATCACCCATCCTGTGGGTGAGAAAAAGGAGGTGTGGAGGAGGCAGGACTTCAGTTCGCATCCGTCTGTCCCAAGCTCAGCCTCCCAAGGGGCCAGGCAGTGTGGCCTCAGAGCCTGGCCCTCTCGGGTCTTTTTGTCCAGAGCCCACTGCAGAGCTGGGCTCCCATCTTGTGCTCTGTAGTCGTGGGCTCTGCTGACTTTGCCTGGGCTGTGTGTGCATCTGTGTAGCCTCTGTCTCTGCCCCTCTGCCGTCCTCTGGGCCTGTCTGCCTTCGAGTGTCTGTCTGCCCAGAAGTCCCCGCAAGTGAAGCTGTGAGGCCCGACCCTCACCCCAGGCTGAGCGCACACAGCATGGATGGGGGGCGAGGGGCACAGGCTGGGGGACCAGGGTAGTGTGGCCAAGCCAGCATTGTGGTGTGGGTGGCGTGACAGTGCAATGCTCCTTCTGCCCAGGGGCAGCGCCCTCCTTTGTGTCCAGTGCTGGCCAGGTAGCCGAGGGCATGGGACAGGCGCACACGGCAGGCAGGCCTGGCTCTGAGGTGCTGCTTGCTCCTCTCTGGACCGTCATGGAGTTGGGCTGACAGGAGGTGACGCTGTGCTGGCTGTGGGGTGTGGCTGGGGCCCCGAGAGCCAGAGATGGCAGTGCCACGGATCTAGTGGTGGCTTCGTTAGGCGATGGTGAGGGTGCAATTAGCATGTTTGCCGCCTCCTTGGCGTGTGCATTTAGGTCTGGTGGGCCCCTTGGTTTCCATGGAAACCTGCTCGCAGCCTGGCTCGAGCTGAGTCCAACAGGAAATCTTTATTACCAAGAGCAGGTTGTCAGATTCACTCTGAGTCAAAGCTCCGTGGAAATATTTTCCCACAGTGTACGTAGCGCTGACCTTGGGGAGCTGCGGCCTGTGGGGAGGTAGGGCAGCTCTGGGCCTGTCTTTGATTGACTCCCCCTGGTCTGCTCCCTGGGGCTGTGTCCAGCGGGACCCTCAGGAAAGCCTGGGATCCCTGCGGGAGGGCAGGTCAGGGGCACCTGGTAGCAGCTACCTCCTTGGGCCATGGGGAAAGTGCCTGGCTGCTCCCTGCTGCCACCCCCCGTTGTTTGCCATTTCCTTCAGGGTCATGTCTCTGCTCTACACTGGGAGTCTTCCAAGTGGCAAAAGCCACCTTTTAAAGGGATCTTTGCAAATACTCTGGGATGTCTGGGTCCTAGGAGGCCTGGGTCTGCACCCAGAATGGCATCAAGTTGCTGTGTGACCCTAGGCAAACCCCTGGACCTCTATGGGCTTTGGGCTTCTCCTGTATGAGTGAGCATGTGCCAGTCATCTCCAGACCTATAGCTTCCCTGCTCTGCTCGTCTGCAGGCCACAGACTGGCCTGGCACTGGGAGGTGCTGGGCTGAGCTTGCAATGAGCCCCACAGTCCGGTGTGCAGGCGAGGCGGTGAGGAGCGGGGCTCAGGCCTCCTCCCATCCCCTCCTCCAGGCGCCATCCTCCTTCCTGAGTGTCTCTGTCTGGCAGGAGCTCCGGCCAGGGTTTCACAGTTGGATAGGATTGTCAGGAAACGTGTGGGCGCTGGGGGATTCATGAATGCACAGGGGCTGGCTCAGCTGAGAACCTGACCCCAGCAGAGGGCACAGTCTGTCCACCCCTTCCATGTCCTTCTGCCTGGAAGCCTCTTAAGGGCCTTTCATGTGTTTTCTCTCTCTTCCTTCTTCCTGCCTGCCTGCTTTTCTTTCTTTCTTTCTTTCTTTCTTTCTTTCTTTCTTTCTTTCTGTCTGTCTGTCTGTCTGTCTGTCTGTCTGTCTGTCTTTCTGTCTGTCTTTCTTTCTTGTTTTCTGAACCAGTCTCACTATGTAGTCCAGGCTGGCCTTGAACTTGCAATCCTCCTGCTTCACCCTGCCTAGTGCTGGGATCGTAGGTCTGTGCTACCACATCCAGCTCTCAGCGCGTTACCGTAACAGGGCTCCCTTCCTGTCGGAATGCCAAGTGTGAGTTGTGTCTGGCCCAGCCATGCTTCCTGCTGCATCTGGGCAGAGCGGACTGGGGCCTGTGCAGCCTGGCTCATGGCCTGTGAGTCTCTGGTTCTGCTTGCACGATGGCCAAAAGCCCAGTCCAGGAAGCTGGGAAGGACCTTGGGGCTGGGGAGCAGAGGGGCCCAGCCGGTGCAGCTCTCCCTGGGCTGCAGCTCATGTGGTTTTCTTCTCTTAAGGAACCAAAAAGCTGACCAATAAGGCCACCCTGTGGTACGTGCCCCTGTCCCTGAAGAACGTGGACAAGGTCCTCGAAGTGCCTCCTGTCGTGGTAAGGCTGCCCTGTGCCAGCCCCAGGTGGGTGTGGATGGGAGGCCCCAGTTCTTTCTCAAGTGAGCACAGTAGGGTAGCGTATTTGGTGTCTGTTCACTCACTCTGGGATTGTGCGTGTCAGCTCCGTTCCTGTGGGTGGGCGTCCCTCCGCTCTGGAGGATATGCGTGTCATACTGGATGGGGGACCTGTCCTGCCCAGGATAGGCAGGAACAGGTTTTCATTTCGGCTCCCAGCACAGCAGAGGTGACAGCTCAGGTTCTGTGGTGGCCTTGCTGTTGTTCCCTCTTGGCCCTGCTGCTGTCACCACTGCCTTGGGTTTTGCTGGGGACCGAGTGATGGGCAGCTGCGGCAGACAGGTCTGGACACTGCCTGTGCCCTCCTCAGGCAGTCACATGCTTAGAAATAGGGTCCCCCCCCCAATAAAAAAGAGGGCCAGGGATTTAGCTCAGTGGTTCCGCCTCCTGCTTCACAAGCACAAGGTCCCAAGTTTGATCCCAGTATCAAAAAAAAAGAAGTAGGGTTCACCCACTCCCTGGGTGCTCCCTGCTGCCTCCTCTCATGCTCGGGGTCCATAGAGACTCAGGGGCAGGTGTGACCATGACAGATCCTGCGCTTGCTGCTCTCTGGGTGGCTGGGGCTGCTCTCTGCAGTGTAGACTGCTGAGTAGATTGGCAGCAGTGGGCACCTGCTCCTTCTGCTCCCAGACCCACAGCGAGCCCGGGTGCTGGACACACCACGTCTGTTTCCTTTCCCAGTGTCCTGTCCTGTCGCAGGTGCAGGCTCGGCTCTGTCCTCCTTGCCTGCCTTCTCCCTGTGGGGTCTTCACACCGTCTTCTTCAGACTGCGGCGGTCAGGTTCAGGGCCCGTCCCATCCCTGTGACTTCACCTTATTATGTCTGTAGAAAACCTGTGTCCAGAAAAATTCCCACTCAGGTTCTTGGTAGACCTCAGCTTTGAGTGATGCTGTCCACTCCAGGAGGCTGCCCCTACCCACCCCAGCTCCCCGCCGGTCCGTCTTCCTCTCTGGCCTTGACAAGGGTGGAAATGGTGTCTGTTTCCCAGCAGCACATGTGGGAGTCAGGCCTTAGACGGCTGGGCCTCCCTCCGGGAAGCCCAGGAAGCACCTGCCCTACTCGTGCCTTTTTGCTGGTCAGGGCCAGGTAGCTGGAGCTGTGGGGCCTTGGCCGTGGCTGGGGGTGTAAGAGCTGGGCTCCCTTGGCGTCTCTGCCCTTGCTGTGGGGGCAGGGCCTCAGCACACCCTTGCCCTACTGTCCACTTGGCCGTGGGTGCTGCAGGGCCCCTGTAGCTCCCTCCCTGTGTGTGTTGACCAGACGTAAATACCTACTCGGCTTCAGGGAGAGCCGTTATGGAATGAGGCCACTGTGCAGATGGGGTTGTGGGGGATCTACACTGCCCCCCAACATGCTGGGGGGCCTAAGCCCACGGAATGCTGGGCATCTGTTGTCCCTGGGCTAGGGACCCCGGCCACCACAGCGTCCTCTGTCTCCAACTGGTATGTCGCCTGCCAGCACCCGACTCATGCTTCCTGTGTTGGCCAGTGTCCTCCTGCCACTCTTCCATGGATGGTTATTGCATGTTGAATAAAACGCACTTTTCTGTGTCTTTACATGTATACACATGCATGTGCACGCATGTGGATGCCACATGCTTGCCTGTGGGTGTCTTGAGCACACGTGGACTTCTCGGAGAAAGCCTAGCTGCTGGCTGAGGGCAGAGCCCCTGAGGGTGCGACTTGTGTCTGTGTCCCGCTTCCTCCCCGAGCCTGGCAAGGGGCACTACTTTCCTGGTGGTCAGGGAAGCTTCTTGGCCCCATGATGATTGAAAGAGGCCACCAGGGTGGCTGTGGAGGGATTGGGATAGACACTGGTCTTTTGTAGATATCTAAGCAGGCTTGAGTTGGACGCTCATGGGCTGTAGCGTGGCTGAGTTTGGGCCGTGCTGTCTGCTGCTTCAGAGCCTCTGAGTTTGATGAGCCCTCGGGCGTTAGGTGCGAGCACCTCATGAAGATGCTGCACGGCTTGTGCCCGGATTCACACCCACTGTGGTGACAAGTGGCTGGCAGCTCTGCATCTGCAGAGTGGTGCCCCCAGGGTCCTGCAGAGCCAGCAGGAGCTCACAGGGTACACCCTGGTGGAGGTGGCTCTTCTGTACCGGGGTACACCCCCAGCCCTTATTATTTCTTACCAAATTGCTAATTTGTCCAGACTGGGCTCTAACTTGTGATCCTCCCACCTCGGTCTCCTAGAGTGGTGGGATTACAGACCTGAACCATCATGCCTGGCAAACAAAACAAAATAGCTCTCTCTTTTTTTTGGTTGTGGAGCTAGAAATGGAAGCCGGGCTTCATGGATGCTAGGCAAGCTCTCCCGTGCCGCCTGGCCCAAGCAGCTCCTTAAATACATTTTTTACGGATGCCTAAGTTCAGCGTTCAGTCTTACAGGGAGACGCAGTGGCTCGACCTCGGGACTGTCATTCCTTGGGTGTTGGGACTTTGGCATATAGTTTATTTGTGTAAGGGAGGTCAAACTCTCCCCTGTAGCTTCAGGAGCTCCCTCCAGCTTTTTTCTCTTAACTCCTGGGTCCGTTCCTGGTCTCCTCAGAGGAAGTGTTCTCCAGCTGGAGGGTGGGTGGATAATTAAGCCTGGAAGGGTCCTGAGAACCTTCAGGGTCTTGGAGCTGAGCCCCAAGCAGGCATATCGAGGGGTTTAAAAGTGGTTTAAAAAGAGAAGGGGAAATACAAAGGATTAAGATGCAATATAGGCCGGGGATTTGGCTCAGTGGTTCTACCACCTGCAAGTGCAAGGTCTTGAGTTCGATCCCTGGTACCAAAAAAAAAATGCAATATGTACGTGTGCCAACCTCTCAAGGTGAATCCATTCAAGATTGCAAATATGTATGTAAGGCAGAAAAGAACAAAGGTTATCTAATAAAAAAGTAGCTTAGAAAGGAGGTCTGCGACAGCCACCCGAGGGAACTTGCTCAGCTCTGAGGGGCTGCAGTGGGGCAGAGGAGCCCAGGGTCCAGTGGGAAGGCGAAAGAGAAAGTGACAGGCCTCTGGGGACTGGCCATTGGTCAGCATGGAGAAGGGACTGTGGGGAAGGGGCTGGCTTGGTGGTCCGGAGGGAGAGGGCACACGGCACTGCAGCCCCCAGAGGGCCCCAGGTGGAGGAGGGGTGCATGTGTCCCCCGAGTGGGCCAGGGACGGGACACAGAGGGCAGTGGGGAGCCCAGTACCCCCATTGTGTGCAGGTCTCAGAAGACTCGGGGTGCACAACTGATTTTATATCACATTTATTTTTAACTTCCTGGGTCAGACCTCCTGTCCGCCTTAGAAGAGAGTGGGGTGGCTTGGGCCTGGCTGGCTGCCCTGGGGGCTGCAGTTTTCCTTCCAGGATCAGCGCAGTTGCAGAGCGAGGCAGCTGAGGCTCCTAGCGCGATGCTGTTTTCCTGGAGAAAACTGGGGAGAAAAGCTGAACAGCCAGGAAAGACGGGCCGGGTGCAGAAATGATGTCACAGCCTTAGGCGAAATAATGAACTTGGCCGTGTGGAGCTCACATGAAGCGTGCCAGGGCCGCTGCGTATTCATAGGCATGAAAGCAGTTCCGGGAGGAAGCATGTGACACCCATCGCGTAAGGGAGGACGGTTTGCAGATTGTAGCTCCTGCTTTCAGGCTGTGGTCAGATGGCTCCCAAGGTAGAAACTGGAGGGCAGAGGGACCTAGAGGAGAAAAGCTGCTCCTCCCCTGGCAGCCAGGTGGCCAGACTGGGGAGGATGAGGGACAAGAATGTGCCCTTCTGGGTCATGCTCCAGTGACTACCCCCATCCCGGATGCATCCCCTGAGGAGCACAGGACCCCACAATCCAGTCTCCTCCCACACACGTGAGACTTTGGGGGGACACTGAGGTCCTGCATCCAGCTCAGCCTGTCTTGGGAGGGGTGGCCTGAGACTTTGCTCTGTGTTCTGGTTACTCAGGAAATATTCACCCCCAGCACAAGAGCATAGTCCCTGGTGAACAGGGCCCCTGACCCTGCAAGGCCGCGCTGTGTCCCCACCACAGGCCTGACCCTCTGTCTGGTTTCCCACAGTATTCCCGGCAGGAGCAGGAAGAGGAGGGCCGGAAGCGGTACGAAGCTCAGAAACTGGAACGCATGGAGACCAAGTGGAGGAACGGGGACATCGTACAGCCCATCTTGAACCCCGGTAAATGTGGGTGACATGGGAGGGCGGGTTGTCACCCCTGTGCTCCTGGAGCCAGGCTCCTTGTCCCCAGGTTCCCCCCTTACCCGAGCCAGGCAGGTCCCTCCCAGAGCCCCGGGTGACAGCTGGAAGGTGGCACAGCCCCTCTGTGAGTCCTGGATGGGCACCACTGCCCACTTGCCTAGGGACACGGTGGAGGAGCTTTTTTTTTAGTACTGGGGATCAAACCCAGGGCCTTATGCATTCAAGGCAAGCACTCTACCACAGAGCCACATCCCCAGCCCTTTTAATTTGATTATTTTTGTTTGTTTGTTTTTTTGAGACAGGGTCTCACTATTTAGTTGAGACTGACTTGGAACTCACTATGCAGCACAGGCTGGTCTCGAACTCACAGCGATCCTCCTGCCTCAGCATCCTGAGTGCTGGGATTACAGGTGTGCGCCACCACGCCCGGTGCCTTTTAATTTGATTTTGACACAGGGTCTTAAATTGCCCAGGAGGCCTTGAAATTGGGATCCTCCTTTCTTAGCCTCCAGAGTAGCTGGGATTACAGGCCTGAGCCATTGTGCCTGGTGGGCAGCAGCTTCCTCTGTGCTGATTCTCAGTTGGCTGTCATGTAGACTCCTGACCCAGCACGATCGCCGCGGCCCTGTCTGTGCCGGCTCCACCCCTTACTCCATCTTTCTGCCAGGCCCTTGTGAAGGGTCCTCGCAGCTCCCAGATGAACAAGTCTCAGATGTTTTCCCTGCAGACAGCAGGGCAGCATCCCGGGCATGAGTTCCATCAGGACCCCGGCTTTGGGCTGGTCCGACCCCCTGCTGCCCCTGGTAACGGGACTGCCCCCTGCCCTCTGGGCCCTGGCTGGGGAGGACAGGGCAGCAGGCAGATGGGGGTGAGGGCCAGTGTGCAGTGAGAACGGGGTGCTGGCTAGCACCCAGTGTCCTGGGGTGAGAGCCTGGCAGGGCAGAGGATGTGCCAGGCCCTGGCCTGTGAGTGGACCTCATGCAGGAGGGGCCTGCAGGTGTGATGGGGTCACTGGCCTGGACTTGGGGCTCTCGACCGACACCCCGGGCCCCACACTGCAGCTTGCTGGCCTGGCTCAGGCTCTGAGCAGCGGGACACTGGGGGAGGCAGCCCCGCGGGCTTCTCCACACCGGCTGTCTGAGAGATGACTATTGCTCAGCCTTTCCAATTTGCTTAAATTCTTTGAAATTCCTCATGAGATTCTCTTCCATTTGCTGTCCTATTTGATTTTAAATCGAATACATATTTTTCCAAATCCCTTTTTCTCCAGCGATACTAACCAAGGCTGGCATTTGAAGTGTCAGGATTTCCTGATGGATTTCTCTGTGCTTCATTGGTGCTTTCTGTGTCTCCCTGGGCGAAAGGGCGAGAGTCAGGGACTCAGGCATTTCTGGTGGAGCTATGTGCCCGTTTTCGTCTTTGAGAACCTTCGCATTTCTGGCTCCACTCTCCTGATGGCTCCTGGCTGGGCCCCTCCGGTGGCTCCCATCAGATGTGCCTACCTGGGCCTGACTGGGCTTCGTGGTGTGGCCACATCAGTGGGGAGCAGCTGCTCCACACTGGAGTCTCCCCAGGGGTACACATTGCACCCCTTCTGTGGGACCCTTAGCCCCAATCCTCCTGGGGCTGAAGCCAGAACCTGGGATCACTGTTATTGCCTACCAACCTCCTGGGGCGAGCGACCTGGGCTTGCAGGTGTCTTGGTGGCCTGTGAGCTGAGAGATCAGGCTTCCCTTTTGTCTCTGAGAGAACAGTTGTCTACAGCACTCAGATTCAAGGCTGTGGGCTGCTGGGATCCAGTGAGGAGAGGCTCTGACCACTTGACACCTGGTCTGGGGCCGCAGTGGCATCCACCTCCAAGCCCACCCCCAGGGAGTCCCCAGCAGGGCCAAGTCTTCCGGGGCTTGGCCCTAGGTCTGAGGTTCCTCCCCAGCACTTCTGGCCACCTTCTAGGCTGGTGATCCTGGTGCCATCAGTGCAATCTGGCGACATGTGTGGTATAGGGTGGGAGGAAGCAAGGCCCTGGAGTCAGGCCCTTTCCCTTCAGGTTTAAATCCCAGCACTGCTCCCTCTGTGAGCACTGAACCTCCCTGTGCCTCACTGTCCTTGATGGAAAGAGATGAGGGGGCCACTGAAATTACCAGCTGTGGACACCCTGTGACATGCTGTATGTGGAACACTGAAAATAGATTCTGACACACCATCCAGCCAGCTTTTCCTAGTCAAGAGTGGGTTTCCCCAAATGGCAAGGATTTGGATTTGGAGACTCGGGCTCCTTCGGTTTTGTTTTGTTTTTTTTTTTCTGGTACAAGGGATTGAACTCAGGACATTGTGCTTGTGAGGCAGGAATGGTACCACTAAGCTAAATTCTTGGCCCTAGTCTTTTTTTTGTTTTGTTTTTTTAAACAGGATGTTGCTATGTAGTCCAGGCTGGCCTTTAACTCATGGCAATCCTCCTGCCTCAGGCTCGTGAGTGTTGGGATTATAGGTGTGCGCCACCACACCTGACTTTCTTCAGTCTGGTGGAATCCATGGGTACAGAGGCTAAGCCGTGCCAGCTGCCGTCTTTAACAAGTAGCATTGAGGTCACCTGAGAGGGGCACATTGCAGCAGGCGCAGGTCTGTGAGCAGGTCAGGTCTATAAGCAGGGCGTTAGGCACCTCCATGGCCCCAGCAGGGAAGGCTGGGAAACCCTGGCCAGCTTCCTGCAGAGGAAGGGAGGGAAAGGTGTAGCCATCATGGCTGGCCCTGCCTGGTCCTGCCCTCTGGTCACATCTCCCTGTCGACTTAGGTATGGCAGCAAAGCCTTGTGCCCCTGCCTGTGATGCATTGGCACGATGGGGACCCACACTGGGGAGAAGGAAGGTGGCGAGCTGCCCACATCGCGCTGGATCCTGTGGGGTCTCCGGCCCTGGTTCTCAGAACGAGGCCCTAGAGTCCTGGAGAATTCAGTCTGTTTGCTTCCAGCCAGTTCTGTGTGACAGTGACTGCACTCAGTGTCCTGGGAACAAAGTTCTGAAGCTCTTCTCTTTTTAGCCCCTTTCCTTACACCACAGCTCGGGAGGCCTCTGGCTGGGGTAATAACAGGTCCCACCTCTTAGGCCAGGTGATTGTCAGTGGTGTCCCCTTCAACTCTAAGAAAAGGTTTTCATTAGGCAGCGTCTCACTTCTGGTACCTGTGTGGCATTAATGACCATCACAGAACCTGATCTCTGTGGCTCGTGTGCTCCCTGTGTCACCTCATCACCTCAGTTGCAGAGCGTGTGAGCTTAGAGGCGCAGTCCTGGGGTGAGCCAGGGTCCTGCTGTGAACTGAGGAAAATTAAATCTGGCCCAACCCACAGAGCATTCTGGGAGTTAGTTATGGCCAAGGGAAGGGAGACCAGGAGAATTTTGTTGCAAGTTCTAAGAGCATTAAGCCATTTGTAGCTTCACCAGTATTCTTGAACAGCCTAGGACAGTGGGGGAATCCCTTTGACCAGGAAGCTTGATTTTTGTGAGCCACTGAGCAGCACCTGAAGTTTGAAATTTAAAAAGACAGTCTCTTGTTATTGTCCACATGCAAGGCTCTTAGCTAATAAAGCAGCTCCTGAGACCGAGTGGAACCGAGCTTTGGGCTTCCAGTCCTATTCTAGGACAGTTGTTTTCCTATCCTTTACGGGGAGTGCTGAGCAAGCCAGGGTCATGCAGGTAGCCTTGATGTCTGCTTCTCAGGTTTGAGCCAAAGGAAGACAGTGCCAGGAAGTCAGGGCTGCTGTGGGCCGCGCAGGTGGCCGGGGTGATTCTCTAGTGATGGGTGGTACCCTGGTGGCTCCTGAGCTGCATCCTCTGCCCTATCTCCCAGACCTGGCCAGCAGCACTGTGACTCTCACGCGCACAGTTGCATCTCCCTTAGCTGCAAGGGCCAGGCAATCTTTCCACTGTTGAGGAGAACTGTGCTGGAGAGCCAGGGAGGCTGGAGGAGCCCGAGAGGCGGGGTCCTGGCCTTCTGGGGGCCTCACTTCTCTTCCCAGTCTGTCACGGTGTGCAGTAACTGAGGCCCAGGGCAGTCATGTTGCCCTAGGTCCTAGGAGCCCTCTGGTGTGGCATCGGGGAGGCACCTCTTTCCTTGGGACAAAGCCACTTGTCACTTGGGCTCACTGCTCCAGAGCTGCTTCCTGACCCAGGGGCCATACCTGTGGAGTGGCTGACGGTCACACGGTCACATGGGGTAGCCAGAAGTGAAGGTGACTGGGATCATCAGAGACCGGATGATGGGAACTGAGATATCTCCATGGCTGATGCTCCCAAGTGCCCGAGCGGTGCCTGGGCCTCTCTCTTCCTGTTTCAGAGGCTCCCCCACCCCGTGCTCCCCATTCTTGAGTTTAGAACCAGAGCCTCAGTCACCCCAGACTGAGTTTCCACAGTGGGCATGCCTGGGTTTGCAGGTAAATGTTTAAGGCCTGGCTTGTCTACCTTCTCCTTTTCCTGCTTCACACGACTTGAGGCCACTGTGCCATTGGAAACTGCACATGGTGTGTGTTTGGGTGCTGGGCTGCATTCTGGGGCTTCCATGTTGGGGCAGAGCTGGGAACTCCCTGTCTGGCAGGCTGGAGGCAGTGGAAGGCCTGGGTCAGGGTGTGGCTTCCTTGGGCCTCCCGGCTCATCTTCCTTCTGTTCTCAGTATCTGCTCTTAGACTCCAGCCATGTCGGCACGGGCCCCAGCCTGACAACTTGGTTTTGAATTCATTACCTTTTAAAGTGCCCTGTCTCGGTGGGTGCAGTGGCACACGCCTGTAATCCTAGCTGCTCAGGAATCCTGAGGCAGGAGAATCCCAAGTTTGAAGATCCTGTCTGAAAAAAAAATTTTAAGAAGGGCTGGTGGGTGTAGCTCAGCACTCCCTGGGTTTGAACCTCAAGACTTCAAAAAAAATCAACCTACAAGGACCCCATCTGTTTATGTGGTCACCCCGAGGTACTAAGAGCCAGATCCCAGCAGTTGTGAGGGACATGATCCAGCCTACAGCATGGAAGAGCCCGGGAGTCCCTGAAGTGACAAGGACTCTTAGGAGAACCCAGGGATGACCTTGGCCCATCCTGTGGCCAACTGCCCTGCCAGGGACAGGGCAGCCCTCCTGAGCCCCAACTGTCCAACAGGACATGAAGGAAGCTTGTCCCTGACTGGGAGCCCTTGGCTGGGCATCTGTGCACAAGGCCTGGCTGGATCCACCTCAAGCTGCTGGACCCTGGGGGACAATGAGGGTGATGGCCAGCCCTGGAGACAGGGCTGTGTGTCTTTTAAGGGCAGCTGTTTTTAGATGTTTCAACAGCAGCATGGCTTGGCCGCCTCTGCTGAGGGACAGGCTGCTGTGAGCCAGCCAAGCTTGTGGGGAGGGCTGACCCGGCAGAGGGAGGAGCCTGGGCCCTTTTGGGGCTGTGCCTTCTCAGCTGTGGTGGCGGCAAGGGCAGTACAGTAAGTTGGAGGAACATGGTTGGTGCTTTGGTGACAGTGGATGCGAGGTCAGGGGATGACTGGGCTGGTGGAGGGTCACACAACCTGGACCTCATAGCCAGGGGCTATGATTCTGCCCCGAGGTAGGAAGGACCTGGCACCTGGCAGGCGCTGCTGTCCCCAGGGTGCATTGGGAAGCACCGCCACAGGGCTGCTCAGTCTCAAGGGCATTCTAATTGCCAGCACAGCCTGTCAGAGACCTCGGCTCTGTCTCCATACCCAGATGTTCTTTTTTTTTATTGGTCGGGATGGATCTCAGGACCTTGCGCTTGCCAGGCAAGTGCACTGCCACTGAGCTGCATCCCAGGCCCTGCAGATGTCGTTCTTGCAGTGTGGGTGGCCCTGGGCTGTGGGATGTGTCCACCCCGCCACTCACCCCTCTCTGCTGTTCCAGAGCCCAACACCGTGAGCTACAGCCAGTCAAGCCTGATCCACCTGGTGGGGCCCTCGGACTGCACCCTGCATGGCTTCGTGCATGGAGGTAAGGATGAGGTCACACTGGCCGCCACGAGTACCCGCAGGAACTGGGCAGCCGCCTGGCCTCGTTTTAGCTCTTTCCTCAGTGAAGTGCAAATTTAAGGTCACACAGAAAGTACGGAAACGTGTTGTTGCTTGTTTTTAAAATTGGAATGACAGTGGGACTGAGGACTGAGTCCAGCGGAGGGTCACACGCAGCCTGGATCCTCAGGGTGCCGGTGTCTTGGTGGCCCAGGGGATGGCCAGGCCTGGCTGGGCAGCAGGGGTGTGCAGAGAATGGCTACTTGGACCTTTCTTGCCTTGGTCTTTGCATTTTCTTTGCTTAATTGTATTAATTTGTTTGTTTTTGTCTCACACATCCTTTTTCATTAAACCGTATTGGTGCAGTTTTTGTGGAAATGCAGAGCCTGCCTCAGACCACAGGCCTTGAAATCCCTGGCCCAGGTTGCCCGCTGTATGGAGACCTGCTTTGGGTTCCACCAGGGACAAGTGTTACCTTAGTAGTGTGGCATTGTTTGTGATTTGGGGCAAGTAGCATATGGTAACTTCATGGATATTGTGATTTTGGTTGAAGATGAAAAGAATTTTTAAAAAAAGAAGAAAAAATCAGGGAGAAAGGAAGTTGGGGAATAGCAGCAACTGTGAAGGCGGTGTTGGTCCCAAAGCTTACACAGCTGTCCTGCATGTCCCAAGATGCTGTTCATCCTTCTCCAGGCACAGCAGGCGTTTTTGCATAATGCATTCACTTATGCTGTCATTTCATGGTGCTTGAATTACCTAGTTCTGCTCCCTTCTTTGCTCGGAGGACTCCTGTTCATCCTTCAAAACCCAGCTCAAACAGCACCACTCTGTGCTGAAGAGAACCAAGGGTTCTTCAGGAGCAGGGACTGGCTTTCTCTTTGCTGTGGCTGGAGTGCCCCATGCTGAGTCAAAGAGGCACTTGGCAGATGCTCGTGAATGAGGGGCACAGAGTGCTTTTGGCCTGAAAGATAACAAGCCTTAGTGAGTTCACCCCAACTTCAGAGGTTTTTTGTTTGTTTGTTTGTTTGTTTGTTTGTTTTTGGTACTGAGAATCGGACTTGGGTCCTTGCACTTGTGAAGCAGGTGGCGGAACCACTGAGCTAAATCTGTAGCCCTTTCAGAGGTATTTTTAAAGCTTGTTTCCTTTTGTAAAAGCAAATGTCCTTTATTTTTCACTTTTTCCAATTTTGTGCTTGTTTTCATCTCTCCACTACACACTGGTTTAATGTCCTTAAATCTGATTGACTTTGGTGCTGCGGGGTGGGGGCTGTACTGAGACAAGGTGTTTTCTGGGCCACCAAGCCACCGTCCCTGTGGGCCCAGCAGGGCTTCCGTACCAGAAGGAACTGTGGCTATGCTTGATGTCCCCATTCTGCCTGAAACTTGTGAATGCTGTGCTGCAGTGTCCGCTTGTTTTGTTTCCGTGTTGGAAAATTTCCCAGTGAGGGTGGAATTTCTCATGCAGCCTCCTCGGTGAATTAAGCCTAGGTTTCTTTTTCCCTGTGCTGAAAGGTGCCATCAAGAGGCTACCAGTACAGGATCCTTGGAAAACTCCTCTAGGAGGAGTCCAAGCCGCTTCCTTTGATACAGGCACTTTAAAAGGCTTTTGAGACAGTGTATCACTAAGTTGCCCAGGATGGGCTGGAACTTGGGATCCTCCTGCCTCCGCCTCCAGAATAGCTGGGTTACAGGCATCAACCACCATGCCCGCACTCAGGCTCTTTTAAAAAATGTGTGTCGGAAGTTTGCATCGTCTTTATGATACTTAATGCCTGCTGTCAGAGGGGTCCTGTGTGCACAGCTCATAAAAATGTGCTTACTCGTTTTACCAAATCTAATCATCTCTCTGTCTGGAAGCCCAGCAGGAGTAAGCAAATAAAATGAAGCCCGTGCTGAGAACACCAAGAACTACAATTTCATCGTATTTTCCCATCGGGTGTGGTTGACAGAAAATGACATCTAAAATTGTTTGAGTGAAAGTCTGACTAAGCTGTAATTCAGCAGATGCCAGTGGCGGGGGGGG